CATGCAAACCCCCTCTGGTTACCCTCATTTAAATTGAAAAAAGAGAAAAGTATCACAATAAAAGTCAGTAATTTTGCTGCTTATAATGCAGCAAAAATAACCTTAAGAATTTACCACCACCACCACCACACCACCACCACCACCACCACCACCACTACAATCAAGTTGTAATCTTCAGCTGAAGACAGCAATTCACATGATCCAAGGTGTTTCCTTACCATCCACACTTCTAAAAAAGATGCAGTGATGGCTTGACTGTATTTTTATAAATGCCAAATCTGACATCCCTTGTCAGAATTGGGACCTGAAGAAAAAAATGTAGTCTGGGCTTCAAGATCAATGCAGACAATTGCTTTAAAAAAAATATTATTATGTCTCATTGGAGTACTTTATTGTAATGTTATCCTCCGGAATCAGCTTTATTTATATTTTTATAAATCTGGTGACTACAAAAGCTGGAAGTGTCTCAAGTCTTCAAAGTTCAACAGGAGAACTGACAGCTCTAAGAGGCCAGTAGGAGCTTCTTTTTGTAGAAACCACAAACACTAGTAGAATGCATTTTGAATTTGAAGGAAAGCTATAGCCTTGCTCCATTTCCTCTTAATCTCTTGCCAGGCACAGGGACTTAACTTTTAATATGGAGATGGTAATGGGGGAAAGTGTTTTAGGTTATTTTCTTACAAATCCTGTACTAGCTCCTGAAAAGTTAAGCTTTTTTATATATAAATGTATATTGCTACTTTTGTTCAGGTGACTAAAAATACACAGCTTTGCTCTCCTTTTAATTTTATTTCCACAACCACCCAACCAATGAGGCTAAGTTGGAAAGATGATGATCCAATTCCCATGATGAACTTCCACAAATGAAGATGGACATGAATCTGACACTTCCTGGTCCCAGTTTAACACTTAACTGCAGCACAATACTGCTTATTTATTACAATGGCAAGAAAATCTGATGATTTCCTGCTGGATCCAAACCAAAAGCATATTTTGTCCAATATACTGGCCTCGCAAGGAAAGCATGATCACAACAATTTTTCCTACTTATGATTTATATCCACTGGAACTAAGACCTGTATTGCTTCTGAATATTCTTTTTATTAGAGAATTTTAAAATATATAAATAATAAGGAGCAATAATAGTGGGAGGTCCCATTTCCATGGAACTCAGATGACTGTATCATAGAATTTGGTGTACATACATACATATCAAACAATATGTGCTAATATGGTATAGACTAGAGCTAAGATGCTAGTCAGCTAGATAGCTTGGTCTAATCACTTTATCCTAGATAGGAAGTTGAAGAACACATATCTATCTAACTGTGCTGGACCAAGCATGGTAGGTTGATCATAACCTTCAGTGAAGAGACTTTCAACCTACAGTGGATAGAGACTGGATTATTACTGTATAAAATGATTTCCACAAACTTATCTTAATCTAAACACTAAGAAAGATTAAAAAAAAATGCAAAGCTTTCACATACCTTTTATAGCCATCTCCTTACTAAATTTCTCACGTCTTTTCTTAAAGCTGTCTAAGCAGACAGTTTGAGGTGGCAAAACATTGTTGAGAAACATTGTAGCAGACTTGTGAATTCTTCTTTGTCACAATGGTAACCAATGAAGAAGGCTTTGTTGGTTATTGAGTAGCTGCTTCTACTTCTATTGCCCCCATAGTCATCATGAAACCCTGTGCTGGTTATGGGAAGTGCTTGAATGATGGATCAGCTCCTAGAACACTTTCCTAGTTTGTGATGGAATGTAGAATGGATTCTGGGAATTGGGAAAGAAAAAACAATAATTAATGGAGGAGCTTCCTGTCCTTGACCTGACCTTCCTTGAAGAACTGACCCAATTACACAGAACCTGTTTGTGGTCATGCTGCACTTTTTATATCACAAGTGCAGTAGAACTGAACTGGGATGTTCCTGCCAGTTGTTTACAGTATGTCAGCATCATTTTCTCCCTTTACCCTTGCTTAGAATATCTCTCTGTCCTGAGCATGATTCAGGGTGGCAAATAAATATTCATACCAAGCAAGAGATAACAGGATTGAGCAGCACTCTGCTCAAATAGCTGCCTCATGTGGCTTTGAAATGTTTTGATTGTACAGACAGCTCTCATAGTAAGTAATTCCAAGAAATACTATAGAGCAGGTATGTCAAACTGCCAGCCCATGGACCGGATACGTCATGCCAAAACTGCGCCCATGCCATTGCCAGCAATCGGGAAAAAGTCCCGATATGTCACACGACGTCATGTGACGTCGTGAGTTTGACATGCCTGCTATAGAGAAATCAAGTTGTCTAAAAGTTTCTTCTCTTTCTCTTCAGCAAAAATTTCACTGTTGACTTCCAATCATTCCTTACTCAGTTAATAATCAAGCGCACATATTACACTTATTGACATAAGAGCATTATATTTAAGGTATTTTTCCTAGTCCCAGCCATAAAATCTCAAACATTTCTCCTTGTGAAGTAGCACATTTATGTTGCTTGCCTACATCTAACATACATGAGATTCCACTTGATGTACTACATGATCTCTCTCCCCAAATATTCATAGAACACTCTGAAAAGTTTTTAAATTATATTTCTATACAATGAGAAGCTATAGCATTCATGCATTAGGCCAAGGATCTCCAATTCTTGAGCTGTGGACTGGTACCAGTCTGTGGCCAATTAGGAACTGGCCTATGCAAACAAGCAAAGCTTCATCTGCACATGAGTGGGATTTAGGTAGCGTGCAAAACCATCTCTCTCTCCCCCAGGAGAACCGGTCTCTGGTGCCCAAAAGGTTGGGGACCACTGCATTAGGGTTCAAGGTAATGTCTGAAATATTTTAAAACAGCATGTATTTTAAACAAGTGTACTTTTAAATCCTATGCAATATTAAAGCTAGTATCAGTAACAAAATGGCTTGGTACATACCTGAACTTTAATTGGGGGTAGAAACACATCAGCATTTTTGGATATAGGTGAAACATTGAGAGACTGTAATGGACCTTGCCCATCATAGTTGTAAGTCATGACAATTGTAAAATGTTCATTAAGTGAATGCCATGATCATTAATCAAACCAATGTTCTGTGTGGGAATGGTTTTGTCAAAAACTGGGTTTTGGCAAAGTCATCATAAAACATGGCCATATGGCCACAGAATGCTGCAAACAGCCATAAATGCAGCTATGTTGTCAAATGCCCAAGTTTGAATATATGACTGTGGGGGGGGGGAGGATGACTGTCAGAACTTTGAACATGTGTTGTAAGTAGCCCCAAGGTAGGTCCATCTTGAACAGTCACTAAGTGACCAGTTGCAGGTCAAGGACTATCTGTATTCTGTACTCATATTACAAAAATACAAGGAGATCCCATTCTGAAAGCTATCCTCCCCCTTTTTAATGATCCAAGTGTGCCTGGATCATATTTTTTGCTCAGGGAGCTCCAAATGAGAAGCAATTCCCAAAACCCTTATGGCATATGGTAGATAGAAAGAGGCGGAGTGGGAGAGATTAGATTAGCCTGTGCAGAAATATGCAAACACGAAAAGTCTTTGAATTTGCATCATGGAATCAGTAGGACTGATGATCCTTATTGATCCTCTGATCATTCATTCAATCTTTTCAAAAACAAGTAATCTGTACAGTAGCACTAAAAATGTATAATAAAAGCAAAAGACCCATTGGGCCAGCACTAGAACCTTAGTGGGGTTGCACTGCTACATTAGTAGAGAGGCCTGCCAGACTGCCACTGCCAGGCAAAATTGACATCCCTGTGTTGTCTTAAAAATATATGATATGCTTGTGGTAAATGTAATAGGCATCACAAAACATTTCCTGCAATTATCTTGGAATCTTTATTTAAAGAACAAAGGACTGCAGTATTTATTTGTACATACTGTACCTTTACAGCTCTGCTTATGATGCAAAACTCTATTTCCTGACCATGAAAAAGCTTCAAGGAAATTAAACAGAGTATTGAAATGAAGTGAAATCAGCTCACTGAAGACCAGTACTCATATGTGTGGAAGAAAAGGAGAACACTAAAAGAGACACTGAGTGGTGGGAGTTCTAAATCAAACCCATTTTTTGAGTCAAGCTTTGCTGATGACATTATAGATGCATCCATGTAGTTTCCTTGGACATCGTGTAGAAATATTTGCTACTCACTTCTGGATTTTTGGTTCAGCTTCCTGGATTACTTGGAAATCTCTTTCCCAAGCAGTAATCAGGCCCAACCTGCCTCGCAGCCCAGCCCCGCCTGATTAATAACAAATAAACTTGAAAAGCCACATGATAATGAAATGTGGAATCCCATTAGAACAGTAAAACTTTTTTAACCTGGACAATATGCAATTGAATGTAACACTGTTATAGAGAATAAGAAACTCTTGTAAGCGCATTCATTTTGATTTCAACTCAAAGAAAGCCTCTTTACATACTACCACCATGGGCCTTCTATTTGTGTTTGTGTTTATGAATATTTACTAAGCTATATCTCAAAGATTTTATCAGTCCTGAAAATGTTCACTAGAAAAGACAAAGTCTCTTAGATGTGGCATGCATGAAAGCAGAGAAAAGAGGAACACAAGGCAAACCCTCTGGCTATTTAAGCTACTTAAACCTAACAGCATTTAGATTCAGCCTTCAGGTAATTCCAGGAGTGTAGCACACATTAATTAGGGTAATAATATTTTCAGTGAATCTAATGAAAGGCTGTAAGGTACAATCGATTGCACCATCTACAGCTCACATATTTTGATGAAATTTTCTTATGTTCTCCATCAATCTAAATGTACCTTTAAATGAACAGACTGCAGTAGCAGTACCTGATAATCATTTGCTCTTGGACTGCAATGCAGACTTGAATGACTTCCCCAATTATACTTCAGTTTGTGAATAACTGTCAGCTTGCTTATCAAATGTGAATCTCTGAAACATTTACCCTAATGAACTTTATAAGGCTTAATTTTTATTGTAGAGTTATGTACTATAACAGACCACAAAAAGAAATTTATTTAATATGCAACTTTATTATACAAATACTGTATGTCACATAATATGCTCATAATATGCACATAATACAGTAGCATTCTAAATACATCTTCTGAACATAAATTTCATTGAAAGAACTGATACTTAGACTTGGATTTTAATTGTTTTGTAGATTGTACTCTATCAGCTGCTTTTGCTAGCAAAACTATTTCATCACTTTTCCTCTGAAAGATCTAATGCATCATTCTGGAATTTACTGAATAATGCAACATTGGTTTGCTTATGAGGATCATCCGCTACACTGACATCAGTGCTCACTCATTTCAACAGCCAATGCAAGGATATTTAATGAAAATCATCATGCAAAGACAATCCAGAAATTTAGCTTCCAATTTAGTCTATGTTCCCAAAGTGATCTACAAAGAACTTGATGAAGCCTTCATGTCAACTGTAGTCTAAACTTCTTCCAGATCTGTCACACTGAAGAAAGCTTCTTTAAAGAATAAGGATATTGAGGAAGGTGTTGAGTGGACATGCATGTAGCACATTAGAGGAAAGTTCCTGATTCTAATAACCATTTGTCCCAGATAACCCAATGATAAGACATCTGGAGCTTTCATTATTTGAATATATGGAAGGCTTGCACAGGTAGATTAAAGTTAATCATATGTTAGTCAACTCTTACATTCATTGCCTTCTGTGTCAACTTTCCAACTGTGCATTAAGGTCATTATTACATTTCCGAATAGCATAACTGAATTGTGAAAGAACTCAGCTAACTAGGTTAATCAGTAACATTTGAAGCATTTTCTGGAAATCCTCAAGGAACTTCTTTTTCTTTTTCCTTTTTTCTCAGGAGTTTTCAGTGAATTCATTTGCATTTTTTTTTTTTTGCTATTAGGATTAATAAACAAATGATATAATCTTACTTTTGGTAGATATTTGTTTTTTGAAAAGTTGTTGTGAAGTACAGTTATTTAAACTGCTGACATTATTAAATCTGTAAATACAGATGAAATGATTTAATTTGATCAAGTAAACATTCAGTTGGTTTCAATTTGTAGTAGATTCATCAACAGGAATATATTTCCTTCAGTATTTGCAGAACCTAAGAGTTGTTTATCTTTTTTATCTGCTGCATTAAGGCACAAAGGTAAAGATACCTTGTGCATTAAGGCACAAAGGTAAAGGCTGGAAGTGGCTCATAGCTCTATGCTCTTTTGTTCTAGTGATTTCTCTTTTAATTTGTCATTCCATTTTTTTAAAGATAAAAAGTTTACCAATTTCAGCTAAGACAAAATTTTAGAAGAACATTTAAGATGTCTTGGCAGCCTGAACATGCTTCAGAAAAATGTAGAGTGAGTGTCAAAAGGTGCATGTGTGTGCATGTGCTTCTCACAGTATTGTGTTAATACTGCCTTGCAGTTAAAAATATTGAATGTTGGTTATCTTCCTTATTCATGTCTCTGTTTAGTTTGCTCTTAAGTTAAAGGCAATTCTTTTATCTGTTTTGCATATAAGATATAATTTGTTATTAGAAACAAAATAACTGAAATTAAGAATCTACAAGTACAGTATTATACAGGGTTAAACTAGGTAATACTCCTGAGCTACTAATAAAAATATCTCGCTTCTATCAAGAATGTGTGTGTGTGTGTGTGTGTGTGTGTGTGTGTAAGTGTGCGTGTATATATGCAAAATGTTAATACTTTAATGTTAGGTCCAAGAAGAACATCTCAAGTATAGAAATGAACCAAAAAAAACCCTATTCACATCCTGTCTTACCCCTTCCATATGGCTCTTGGTAGAAACTTTATTAAGCCATTTTCTCCTGTCATACAGTTTTGATGAGTCACATGGACTAGTGTCAAACATGGTTTTTAATAAGCTGGAGTGAAAAAGTAGAACAGGAAATAATGCTGGGAGTTTGTATTACTAATACTTACCTGAAACAGTTCCTAAACTACTTTGCAAATACTGGCAGCCATCCAATATCTCAACAAACAAGTCTGGCTTATCTTTCCATTTTTATTAATGGCTCAACCATACACACACATTAGGTGTTACCTGCCTGAGTTATTTCCTCAAGCAGTCCAAAGTATCTCCAGGACACTTTATATTATGGGGATGGGGCACCGATTTTTTTGTTTGTTTCCACACTGTAGGTTAGAATTCTGTACAAGTTCAAAGTCCACACTAAGTAAGGCATTTGGTTTCCCAGTCAAATGTTTGTAATATATAACTTGCCTAAGGGGGGGACATGAGCATAATAAAATCCTCTTGCAGCGTTCCTCAGGAACTGGGATTCATTCCTGCCTCCAAAACAAAGGAAGATACTACATTATTTTAAATGCAAAAAAGTCCCATATTTTGAAATAATAATAATAATGATAATAATAATGTTAAAAGCTTTTATGAAAACCGGTTACAATTGTATTTCCCGTTTGCACTGAGAGTTGAGAACTAACTCCAGAAGGCAACGACAATTATAGGAATACAAGTATTCGCAGGGGGTGTATATGTGTGTTTCGCTGCCCCCACCCACCACCACGGCACGACTACAAGATACCTCGTAGGGATTCCAAGACCCCGAGAAAATTTTACCAACCTCTGTTCTCTCATTGCGACCTTCCAGGCAACTCCAGGGCGCCAGTTCTGGACCACGACTGGTCCTCCCTGCTCCCTGGGAAGCCTCCGGCACTCTGATAATCCCTAGAGCTCCCGCGCTTCCCGTCACGTCCCAACCCGAAGCGCAAAACCCGCCACCGCATCACGACGCTGCCCGCAAACCCGCCGAGCCGGCTCTGCTTCGCCCGCGCGCTAGCACGTCTCAAGGTCACTCCCGCGAGTGATTTTTCCCGCCTCCCGGAGGAACGAGACTCCAGCGCGTGGGATGGGGAACTGCGCGGTGGGGCTGGCGGCCAGAGCCGGCGCGAAGGCCCTGAAGATCCGGACTTAACCAACAGCTTCCCCGCCCTCGCCCGCGCGGCAGAGCGAACTGAAACTGCTCCATCTTCTCGGCGGCCCTGAGCCAAGAAGCTCTTTTACGCGGCGCCCCTCCTGAGGCGGCAGCGCCGGGCTGGAGCGCTTGGCTGTGCCAGGCTCCGGCTTGGAGTGACGCGGTGCAACGGCAGCGGTTCCCACTTCAGTGACGGAACAGGAGCCCAGCGAGGAAAGCAACGGCGGCTCCGGGAAGCTCAGAAGACAACCGCACGTACCGCCGCCTGGCAGCCCGTCCTGCTCTCCCCGCCCCCGGCCGGTGGCGCTCGCCAGGGAGCCGCCCCCTTCTCCTCCCCTTTGCTCCCCCTCCCGTGGGCGAAGTCCGCGAGGGTCATGGAGTTGGTCGGGACCTATAAAAGCCCCTGAGAAGAACCCCGGTTCTGTCACCTTCGGGCAAGGAAGAGCAGGCGGAGCGCGCAGAGACGGCGGCGGTACCCGGCACAGCTGAACCATCACCATGTCCTGGGGCTACGGCAAGGAGAATGGTGAGTTCCTCTGCGGATGGTGAGGGTCATCCTCGGTCCGGTCACGATCTCAAACTAGTGGGTCGCCGGCGTGAGGCCCCTCTCTCCGAGGCACTCGGGGCTCCGGGACGGGCTCCTGTTTCTGGGGCCAAGTCAAAGGAGAACGCTAACCCCGCTGCCGCTTGCAGTACCTGAGTTGGCGCTTGTTCCGGATAGGCTGTGTGCTCACCCGGTCAGAGCTCAAAGGAAGCCCGCCCTTCAGAGACACGGCTCTGGGCGAAGCGGAGCTTCTGCCGGGCGCCCGCTAAATTGCCTGCTACTCCATATTAATTGCTGCGAAGTAAAAGTGGGATTGTGGAGCGGGTGGTGGGAGATCGGTGGGTGCTTTGGTCTTTTTAGCATTTGAGCTGGACTGAGAATGAATATATGAACTAATAAGATTTCCAGGTAGGAGAGTTCTGAGTAGAAGAGAGTAATCCTACAATCCCATCAAAGGTATCAGGTGCAATAGATGAGGAGCTTGGTAGGCCATTCTTCTCCAGCCATTTGATCTTCAGATGGGACCTAACTGCAGTAAGGGCTGTGTCTACTAGGGATGATGGGAGCTGTGGATACCTGAAAGCAACAGGTTGGGAAAAGTTCTTCTCACCTGAACTTCCAACTGCCTCTTACTGCTGTATCCTCCTTCCAAGCAGCACTCACAAAGAGTTTTGGAACATACACTATGTCGCAATTGCAGTGACACTTGTAAGGCAAAGGAACCTCACTTCTTCCAGTTTCTGTTAGGTTAATGAAATGTCCAAGAGAGGATTTTATTTTATCTTCAGGCACTTCATTAGAATGTGGACTTAACATTCCAAGACTTGCTTTGCCATTTCTAGGCCCAGTGATTGTTTGAGATGAGAACTTTATTCCCCCTAAATTAAGAAACAAAGAAGTTTGGGTAAGCAACTGTTTTTTCTCTATAGTACACTGGGAAATGGAAAGCTGATATTTTTATCTGTACAGCAAAATCCTGGAAGAGAAAATGTAAAGGTGCCATTCAGTGTTTTGCTTTGCAAAGAAAGGGTGACCTGTGAATTTTGGTTGCTATGTGTTAAACTCCTAGAATCTCCTTGAACTTGATGCACCAGTTTAAATAAGAGAGGTAGACTTCCAGTTTGTCACTGTTGAGATTATAAGCATCCTTAACTTTTAATTCCCAACAATACCTTACTGGAGAAATCTGAGTAATGCTGCTTCATTCATCTCAAAAACCCCTCAGAACCTATGCCCCAGTTTGCTACATCTATGCAAGAATAGCCCCCCCCAACCCACACCAGTTTTCCCCTCGTTCTCCATCTGCTTCTCTATCTGCTTCTCTATGTGATCTTTCTATAATTTGAGCTTCAAATTCCATCTGGCCAAAATAACTTCCATTCTTTCAAAAATGTTAAAAGCCTTTTAGGTATCTTTATGTTAAGAGAAGAGCCAGTTTAGTCAATAGTAGCAAAAAAATCAGGAGTCTGTAGCATCTTTTGCAACTAATAAGTTTTATTAAAAGGCATATGTTTTTGCCAGCTTCAGCCCATTTCCTCAGATGCACAAAGTTACTAACCTCAGCCCTGTGAGGTAGACCAAATTAGGTAACTGCCTCCAGAAGAAGATTAGAACTATACTTTATTGACATCAGCTGTAATAGTAAAAGTTTGCTTGTTTCCCTCCGCCCCCCCCCCAAATTTCCCTGTTATAGCCCAGGGAATTCAGAGGAGCCAGTCTGAGTCTTTTCTAATATTTCCTCACCTCCCTGGATTTAATGCATGCTTCTGCACCTGTTGTTGTCCTAATGGCTTCTAGACTTCTTCAAGGTCATCTCCCATAGCTTCCTACAGCTAAACTGGTAAAGTGAGCTTCAGCTTATGCCTTTTAATAAAAAAAAAAGTAGCCATAAAAGGTGCTTTTATCTTTATCTTCCTGATCTTTTGTCTTTTATCTTTATCTTGCTGATTTTCAACTGCCTTAAGACATTAAGACTTTCACCCTCTTTATTTCTCCTTCCTGGTGTTATTTCATGCTGTGGGGACTTCATTCTTGCACTTTCCTTTCTCTGTTTTAGGACCTGCTTCTTGGCATCAGAACTTCCCTCTTGCCAAAGGAGAAAGACAGTCACCAATTGCGATCCAACATAAATCTGCCAAGTTCGACCCTGCACTGAAGAGCTTGAACATCACATACGACGCATCTGCAGCAAAGAAGATAGTCAACAATGGGCACTCTTTTAATGTGGTCTTTGATGACTCTGGAGACAAGTGTGGTTAGTATTTGATGAGTTTTCTTAGGTTAAAGCTTTGGGGGGGAGGGAGCGATGGAAGCAGCAGCAAAGGGGGAAGGAAGGGTTTACTAGAGAGAACTTAATTGATGTATGGTAAAGGGGTATTTTTGTTTCTTTTATTCTAACCAGAGTTGCATATAACCCGGCAATGATAAAAGTCAATTTTTATGGGTGATATTTTTTCCAATAGAAATAGGTCTTCTAAAACCAGTGAACCATCTTGTGCTAATAGAACAGCAATGGGGGGGGGGCAGGCTATGTGTCAAGTATAGTACCATATATGCCGGCGTATTAGGCGACCTGGCATATAAGACGACCCCCGTCTTTATCGCCGAGCCGCATTCCTAGAATGTCGTCTTATACGCCGGAAACTACCAGTATTTCCGGCGTATAAGATGACTCGGCGTATAAGATGACCCCCATCTTTGGCGCCAAGTTTAGCGCTTCCGGAAGTCGTCTTATACGCCAGCATATACAGTAATATTAAAAAGTTCAAAAAGTTACCATTAGAGAAGCAGTCTAGAGAGACAACTATTCCTTTCCCCATGTAACATATTCTGGATATGTTAGACTATAACTTTTATTAGCCACTGAGAATTTGATCTAATGGTTAAGGCACCAGGATAGAAACTGGGTACCATCAGTTCTGGTCCTGCCTTAGACATCCAAAACAGTTGGGTGACTTTGGGGCAGTCACTCTCTCTCAGCCCAGATGTCCTCACAGGGTTGTTGTGAGGAAAATAGGAGGAAGGAGTATTAGATATGTTTGCCAGCTTGAGTTATTTATTTTTAAAAAGGTGAGGTATAAAATAACTAAATAAATTACATCTGCCTGTGCAGGTAGTCCTTGATTTACAGCAATTCGTTTAGTGAACGTTTAAAGTTACCACAGCATTGAAAAAAGGGACTTACAAATATTTTTCACATGACCGTTGCAGCATCCCCATGGTCATATGATCAAAATTCGGATGCTTGGCAACTGGTTCATATTTATGACGGCTGCAGTATCCTGGGGTCATGTGACCATCTTATGCGATCTTCTGACAAGTAAAGTCAATGGGGAAGCCAGATTCACTTAACAACCAGGTTACTAATTTAACAATTGCAATGCTTCACTTAATAACTATTGCAAGAAAGGTTGTAAAATGAGGCAAAATTCACTTAACAAATGTCTCACTTAGCAACATAAATTTTGGGCTCAGTTATGGTTGTAAGTTGAGGGCTACCTGTATTTCATCATACATGTTGACTCTCTTATATTCAGTCTAAGTTCTATGGGTATATACTGTTTTTCAAGCAATCTAAAAGTTGTGTAATATCTGTGTGAACAACAGCCATTTATGAAACTTGGATGTTTTGTACTGTAACGTTCCTGTATTTTTTCTGTGGAAAAAAATACAAGATAGATAATAAGTATAGCTGATGGCTTGGATTAAAAAAAGTGGAGGACATAAAAGAGAAAAAATAAAATATTAATTTGATAGTTCCCAGATCAAACAGTGGAACTAACACTAAAACTCAACAGACTTTTGTGTACTGTTTCGGGGGAGTTTTATAAATGTTGATATATGCAGGGCTTTTTTTCTCATAGAACGCCCAGAACGGAGTTCCGGCACCTTTTTTGGATGGAACCTTGTAGGGTAGGCAAGGCGGGTTGTATGACATGTGTGAGTTCCAGCACTTTTTTTTTTTTTAGAAAAAAAGCACTGGATATATGAAATATGCCATCAGTATAATGTCCTTTTGAATCAACTTTAAGTAGAAGCTCATTTTATGACAAGGATCATCCATTATTCAGGAACATCTATGTCGTGATTATCTCGAGATAAGTGATTCTAATTGTCATTAGGTTCCAATTCTCTCCATTTAATATTCTTTGATTTAAAAAATAAGAAGTAAAACTACATTTCTCTCACATTTCCATATGTTTCAGTTATTCATCCTCTGCTGGAGGATGCTCTATTCACAATAATTCTAAATTGACTCCCTCTTTTTAGCATTTTGCAAGTTCTCTGTTCTTTATGACGATTCTGCAATTGCTGGTAGTGCAAAGCTGATCTTAGGAACAGGAGTTTGAGAGTTTGCATTTTAATCAGCCTAATTAAATGCAGTCTTCTTCCCCTTTCAGTATCCACGAATGAGCTTTCTAATCTGAGACACGATGACCTTAAAAACAAAGGGGCTGCTTTGTCTCTCAGCACTACGTATGGTAGTTCAATTTGCTTAAGCAAACATTCTGTATTTCCTCCCCATGTTGACAGCCTCATTGAGGGAACGCTTTCAAAGAAAAGCTTTGAACACTTTCAAAGAAAAGCTTTCTAAATAATATTGCAAATAGCCATGCAGCAGCCATAG